AAGATGAGTACTGTGAAAGGGGTCGAATATGGCATACAGTTGGGTGATGATAGTTTGCAATCAGAAGTCAACTGCCAGTTAATAGACTTTTTACTGTATGAGTATACGTTGCCTAGGGTGCTCCACGTGGAGGTAGGTCTATCGCATACCCCCTCTCTGCCAAAATGGGAGTTGGAAAACGACTTGCACAAATGCACTTAGGAGCTTTATAAATATACATGCTAGTGTTGAGTTGTCTCTTTTGCCCAATAGAGGGTTTCTCCTCATTAAAATTGAGTCCATCGATTGACTGGTAACCATGTGTGTTCTTAAAACCTTGAAGGCTATGGTGATATTAATTTTGGAATTCTTTAAATATGTATTTTTTCTGAATCTCTCATGCCCGGTTTCGTAAATGGTCTTGAAGCTGCAATTTGTCTCCTGTAGCTAATTGGCTTTGCAATATTCTGCCAACAAACATAGTAAAATAAAACCAAAAACGCCTCTTCTTAGTGATTTGTTTACCGCCAAAGAACCACTGTCACCGGTAGATATAAACATTTAAATCAAAATCAATGGAATGAATTTGATTCTATTTTCATAATTACATTTATTTAACAATGAAAGATTCCCTTTGGACACTTTGCTTTTCAATGAAATTTGCATTGCAGTCAGTTTAACGCATCACAATATTTACATTAACTTAATTGTCCATGGGACATAGCATCAATAATCTTTGCACACTAGACTCAACAGTTTACTGCAGACAATTGAAATTTTGAAAGTAAATTGATAAAATGAAGTCAGCCTTAATAATTCATAAAGATCTTGTTACCAGCCAGGTGTTTTTGCTGCTGTTCAAGGGGGTGAAATATCAAGTCATGACCATGAAACCCCGTTCAGAAAACCAGGAACAAATATTGAAGTTTGAACTTTGTCGTAATTGATATATTTCTCGTATGCTTAACGAAAGAACTGCCAAACTACGTGTTAATCCATATGCTACTTGGCTGGACTGCCAAATGACGTTTTTTGTATTGCTGATTTATCATACAATCGACATCACCCGGTTTGTACGAAATATGCTGACTTTTATAAGCACTTTATTAAAGTCTTACTATTAAACCTCGCACTTTCATTAGTTTTGATCTCCGTCCAGCCTTCAAAATTTTAGGTAAGCTAAAGGTTGTTAGATGTTTTTAAGATCATGGGTTTCGTACAGGGGCATATCTCAGCCTAGTATAGCTACGACACAGAAATTTCTTCTCCAAAATCGGATGCCTACAATATTAAGATGAAAAAAGTGAATCTGAGAACGTCAAAGGCCTTTGTTTCAGAGAACAAAACTGTTAGCTACAATCTACCCATGGTTAGAAGATGTGAAAGCAACTGAGTACGTCATAGTGGAGATACATTTTGGAGGCCTGTTGAAGACAACTTAAACCGATAATTTACAAAAAACAGGAGGGGTGGGGGAATTTCCATGATATAACCTGGGTCATAAATTTGAAACAGGATGCATAAAGCCATGTTAATCCGGAAAACCGGAGAAAATTTTAGAAATGGGACGTCAGTTGCCACTATTATTGCCATTATCTTTACGTTCTCATTCTATCCGGTATCTCCTTTTTCCTATTTATTTATTTAAGTAATCGAATTAGGGTGGCTTCCAAGGATCTGTTCCCATTTATGAACATGTCTTTGCTGTAAAGAATTTCTGTTCAATTTCCAGAGGCACAACTAGAGGAGTGGAAAAATTGGGGATGGCCCATAGTGAAAATGATGAATTTCAGCGCTCGATTACCACGAGGTCCTCCAAAAGAAGGTCCCTGGAATGAGGTGTTGATTCTCAATAGAACCACTCGAGAAGAAATTCGCAGAGTACAGAATTACGGTATGTGATCAAGCTGATTATGTATTGAATAGGGCAATTGAATAGGTAGTTATCAAAGGTCATTTTTACTAGTACATGCGTATCTATGATAATATCTAATTATATTTCAGAAGAATATAGCAGATGCGCCAAATCGATTGGCTAAAATCTTATTCATACCACGATTATAACATATAACACATAACTGAGATGAATTACGTGAATTGGTGCAAAATAATTGAAATTATTCTAGTCGCTTGTGTGTCTAGAATAGCCAGTCAAGTTAGTGGCGTTGTCATTTGAAGAAATTTGGTTTGAGGTAGTTTATATCCACTTTCATATCTATCAATCCTGGATATCCTCGTGTAGTTGTATAGATTCAATGGTTCTCTTAGAAATACCACCTCAGTTTTATATATTTACATCAATTCTTTATACTATTAATAATGTAAGTGGGTGATTGAAATGGTGCAGTTTTGCACTTCCTTAATAGTACTCATTGGGTTAATTACAGGCTAGCTATTCTTTCTTATTGAGGAACCTTCATAGTAGAAACTAATTGAAACTAAACTTCCATTCAAAATTTCGCATAAAATGCCCATCATAAGGATTAAAGGAACTAACATTTTATTGTCATTTAGCTCATAGTTCACAAAATACCATCATTATTTTATTTTAAATTTCATTGTTTTTATAAAGGACTTGCATTTAATGGGTTTTACTTCCAATTCCAGTGTTGCTTTAAATTTATTGGAGAGGTATGAACTAGAAACTGTTGCAACGTTAAATGTCCAATTTTGGTAAGTTATTTATTGAGTACAGTTGACTCAGTCCAAAACAGAGTGAAAAGGAGAGGGACTCATTCTGAAATGCTTTATTAAGTTATTTAAGACGATAGGAATAGTACTTCTCCGCTTATAATTTATATTTTAAAAAGTTCAATGTTCTCCTACATGTTATCAAGACATTTACGTGTGGATCTTTCTTCCTAAGACACCAAAAATACCCTCCGAACCTGAGCCATATTTGTCCTACGCTATTCGCCATTTTTACTAACTCAGACTAAGGGTATTTTTTAAAAAATCCCTCATATAAACTTGAAATTTCACTTCAGCTAAATACGAATGCACATCTCCAACGCCCCATGCAGGTGAATCCTGTCAGGGTAAAAACTTCACCGTTCCAATATTCTGTGGATTTTCTGCCTCCGGTAACGCTACTGGTCGACCAGTTTTCATCAATTATGGCAGACCTGAAGACTTACAATTTTTCAACAGTTCTGATAAGCTCTGTTCACTTGACATTATTGTCGTGGCTAGACACGGATACAATAGCTATGGTAGCAAGGTTAGAGAAGTCGTCAGTCACTGCATGAAGTTAGGGAGTAATTCTCTTCCTGGGGGAATGTTAATCTATCGTGACCCCACAGACGTTCCACCGGACATTAAAGTGTATCCAGAGGGAGTTGGCTTACCATCGGATGGACTTGCTTATCGGGTCTCTACGATGCATTCCCAAGGCGGTGATGTCGAAACTCCTGGGTTGCCATCCATTGGTAAGCCATCCATTTCAGCTAAATCTGCGTATTGCACTATTTTATTTGATGAAAAATATTTGATGGATGGAAAAAGCTCTATAAATTTACGATAAGATAAGGTGATATTTAGAGGTAAGAAATTTTAAATTTCTACATGTCCTTTAAAGTTTATGGCGTAATTTAAAATTATTTGAATTTGAGTGATATATGTTTCGGCCAGAAACTGGAGTTTATTGCATCGGGTATCTTTCAAAAAGTCCATTTTCAAAATACTAAAGAGTATCGAATTCGCTGTTTTCAGTTCATTGCACAATTTTCAGATCAATTTTAACTATTTACCAGTCCTAGAATCGGGTCCACTCATTGAAGCTAATTTACAGTGTCCTATTTATCTAATAATAAAATGGTTTAGATTAAATAAACTCGTTCCAGTCGTCAGAACAGTTCATGATGATCAGGCAAAAAAAGCGAAGTTCAAACGAATAATATGTTGAAGTCAAAATATGTTGTTCTATCGCATGTTGCTTACTATGTTTTTGAATTGATATAAACTTAACATCATGGTATTTCCTGGTCATAAATCGTACAGCTATCTCGTGGATTGGTGCAGAGTATAGCATAGGGCGAAAACTAATCTGTACGATTATTACAGTTAAAGAGGAAGTGCTATGAAAATTCAGTCACCTTCATCGTGATGTATTAAAGTAAGTTGTCAATTAATTTGCAACCTAAGCTTCATTACATTATTTTTTTTAATAACATGACTTCATTAGTTCACCATTCTCATTTAAGATGGTGTTTACAAGATTCAGACGGCAGAACAAGTGGCAGTCACTCCGTTCCCTGTGCAAACAATAAACCTCAATGATGCCAAAGTTCTGATTGGTGGATTTGGTGGTGCCGCAATTCCTACAGAATGGAAACCTTCCTCTATTCAATTTATGGGGCCAGAAGGTGACAAGTAAGTCCATATGTCTTTCACAGTTAACATACTTTTAAAAGCGATGAATGGGGAGTAAAAAAGTGATTCTAAACTTAAGTTCATCAATATAAGATTTGCACCTATGATTCAAGCTAAGTAGGGTGGTCAATAGCCATTAATACTTCTTTTTTTAAAAATATAACAAAATAAATGTGAAACGTTGAATTGAAGCTTCTCTGAGAGTGATTGCAGATCTATCAACGTCCATTGAGCAATAAATAGAAAATTTTATTCACATACCTCTAGTCTAGACTTTTGACTAATCCAAAGTATTTTTTTTATCAGGGGGAAGAAAAGTTAGTTCTGCTAAGTCCTATGATACTTTAAACGCACAAATCCTTAACACAGAATCGGTTCAAGAAATGTGGGACTTCAGTCAATCTGTAAGATTATGTGAGGAATATTAAAGAAGTCATCAAAAATTGAATTCGTTTCAATACCACCAAAATCGCCTCAACAAATTTTACACTCTGTTCCCGAGTTGGAGTTAATGAGAGTTGTTCTGAAAAAAAACTGATTTCCCACTAAGACAATATAAAACGGACCAATAGGAAATCTATATGTTAGAGTTCGAACTTCTACACTGAAAAGGTCATAAAGAGATTATGAAGACGTAAATTTGCATCCGTTTAAAATAGATACCAACACAATTTGAGGTTAAAACCCAAAAAGAAATAACACTGAATCCGATACAGACAATTTCTATGAGGAGAGTAGAGGGAAGGGGCACGTGAATATGGGACAGCCCAAATAGGACATTTAGCTTCCGACGTTGGTAACACTACGGATCAATACTGGTCTTTGACTTCAGGTCATTCAATTTATCAAGTTATAAAAAGAAAAAAAAATATTGACCATATCGTAGCCATAAAACAGACGATACGTTTCATAGTTGCTAATTCAATATACACCATATCATTTTGATTTCAATTAAATATTTATTCATAGTTACTTATCGGAACCATTGAGTGGTTCGGGTTTTTGATGAAATTTGCGTAGAAAATCAAACCACAATGAAAAATTAATACCCTAATTTCTATTTCCTAAAGCTTAATAAAAATGAATGTGAGGAACAGGTTGGATGAAAAACCTTCTACGCTTGTTGATGTGATTGGTATTATGCCTGGTAAGGGCCCAGAAGCTGACAAATATGTCATTATTGGCAACCATCGAGACGCTTGGATCCAAGGAGCTAGTGATCCACACTCAGGAACAGCAGTTATTCAAGGTGTTGCCTACCTCCTCGGCCTTGCATACAAAGATGGTGAAATAAAAAAACTAAGTTTCAATGTTTTAGAAATATCAGTGAGAGGTAATATAATCTCAATTTATACTAAGGATGGCGCCCGAAGCGTTCAATTGTTATCTGCAGTTGGGACGCTGAAGAAGTGGGTCTGATGGGATCAACTGAATTTACCGAACTTTTTCACAAAGAACTCTTCTCCAAGGCCTTAGTGTACTTTAATCAAGACTGTCCTGTTAAGGGCAATGCCACATTTGCCCTACGTGCTGATCAATTTCTTGAAAGAGGGCTTCTACAGAGTGCTACAGCCGTTCAAGGACCTTGCAATAATTCATTGAACTTCCTTGAGGAATGGGCCACTAGAAACGTAAAATCTAATGGCGTTCCATTGTAAGTTACAATGAAACAAGCAAATTGCAAAATAATTATTTATAAAGTTATTAAACTAAAATGTACACCATTTAGCACTGTGCCTATTGGAGGTTCAACTGATCATGTTCCTTTCCAATATCAACTAGGAATACCCTCCACTTACCCAGAGTTTCGACCTGTAGGAACTTGCAGTTACTGCATTTACTTTTTTTCCATGGTTTAATTAGATAAAAATAATTTCTTTATACAAATATTCTAGGAGCCACCACTTTTCGAGGCGCCATCCTATCACACAGCCTATGATAACATTGACATGGCGGAGAGATTCACGGACCCCCCGTGTCCAACGAGCAAAGAGAAGTTTCCCCTTCACCAATTTCTCATTCGATACCACTTCCATCTCATGCTTCGATTCTCTGGAAGTCGACGTTTTCCCATATTCCCGATCTACAAGGCTAACACATTGGAGTTAGCATGGAAAAACATTTTGAATTATACGGCCACTTACATTCCAGAAATTAAAACCCGTTTTGGAATTGATTTGGGTTAGTTCATTTCCTTGCGTTTAATAAAAAAAGCAAGTGGGAAAATATGTAAGCTTTAACTACATCGCGAAATGGAGTAAGCACTTTTCCCACAAAGCTTTTTCATCTCAACTTCACATGAAGGGGAAGAAAAATTTTGATTGGTTTATTATTTTAAATGCTATGACCATATAAGTTTCACGTCTCGAGTAGAAAATCAGGCAGATAATGTAATAGCATCGAGCGCTTTAGAGTCTTCTCATTTGTAATTTTAATTAGGGTCATGAAAATGTTTAATGAATTTCCCATTCTTTTACCATTCTTTTCTATTTCGTTGCATTAATTATATCCCCTCACTTACCCAGTGGATGCTAAATCTGATCGTGGTGATTAGTCAATAATCACAGAACAGGAGGCTGATTCACCTTTCCGAAACGTGTCCTAGACAGACGTTTAATTGATACATTTGGAGGATGGACGGAGTTAATTAGTAATGATGCTTAATGCGAGTGGAATGGTGTTAAACAAATTGATTGTGCTTATTGCAAATTGCTGAATTGCTGTGTGATTTAATGACCGATTGATGGTAAGTAGAATTTACCGGCAAAGATTGAGCCAATCACAGGAAGGGAATGCGCTTTATAAACGACGTCTACTGTGAATAATAAGCGTATTTAATGAAAAATGGAAATGATCAACATGGAGGGTGTTTAGGAACGGATATACAGTGTGGCCAAGATAAAAGGAATCCCGTTTTCTTGGTTTTAATGAAAATGATTGAGCAAACACGTGGTGCCAAGTAAAACTCCGCATTTCTAGACGCAAAAAAAGCATAACTTTAATTTGCCTTTCTATATTTTCTCAATTAATCTGCTTGGCTTTGTGCATACTTACTTTTAGTACAATTGGTATGGAAGTGAAAAGCCGTGGAAATAATTTTGAATGTAGTTGTAAATAGGTGGGGAAAGAAGTCAATTAATTCTCAAATTGGTATTGATTTTCAGACTATATCACAGGATCAATAAGAGCCTTCAAAAACGCAGTGATGGCGTTTGAGAAATCCTTTGTCGATATCGAGAGAAGTAAACCTCAGTAAGTAATGACAATTGATTAGTCTTACTTTGAATTTTAATTTTCAGTGTTTTTAACATATGTTATTAAATCCATTGAGTAAATATTCCTCACAAATTCAACGCTAAGCGTAAAAGCATTAAGCTTGTTAAGTTAAAAGGACGCTTTGAAAACGTATAACTTTTGCTAGTTAGAGACGCTGTCTGTGGAATTAAGAAATTGCAGTCATGATACTACCGATTTGTAAATAGTCCAAATCGTGATTGACTCATCATGCTTCTACGATCATCTTGATCTGAGCAATCAGGACATTCCAACCCATTTTAGAGGCTCATGGATTTCGGTTCCGCTAGGCATTGGTTTTACAGAGCCAACTTTTGCATTTGACTAGATATTGTAAGCCCGCATTTCGTGAAAGCATGTGGCTCGCTTGAAACTAAAAGGAACCTCACATCGAGACCATCAAGCTTAGTATATCAAATTATATGACTACTTCTCTGTCCATTGCTACTTGCATTTTAGCCGATATGTCCTTAGTTTTATAGATTTCGAAAATCGATTTAGCTTGTTAATGCAGTCCTGCCTGGTTATTCCCACACATTTACAAGCTTTTTTGTTTTAGTTGCCTTCACGTCTTCAATAATATTCTAGCCGATCTTTCAAAACAATTTATTACCAACGTGAATACTACTACACCAAGACATGTACTTGTTGAAGATGAAGATGTCAAGTCTCACATTGAAAGCTACTTCCCGCGATTGCAAAAACTGCTCCATAATTTGAACCAGTCTGCTGGAAATGAGACCAGTGATTTGATCACTAACATCAAGATAGAACTTTCTATTCTCTTCACCGCATTCACGTCTGCTTCGAATCATCTCAAAGGCGGTCTCCTTGGATCCTTGGACATGGTCTATGATGATCTTTGTCCAACCCACCAATACATGACATTTGTGTACTAATTATAGATAACTAAAGGATTTTTGATTGTAAAATTTGACCAAAATAAGAACACATCTTCAAAGATTTGCCTTTTTATCGAAATACAGCAAGTTTTGCGAGGCATGATGTGACTTTAACTTAGTTTGTCCAGTCAATATTAGGTTACTTATTAACGTCACAAGAAGAGGTATTAAATACCTATGGAGATGTAGTATTTCGGATAATAAACTAGGTGAAATGAAAGTACTGTGTCATCCTGGTTCAAGGGATCTGTTTTGAACTGTAATTATTAGCATCGTTTACTCCCTGCCGATTAAATGACTTACATGCATCCAAATTATCAACTTTTTGTTGCTGTTTTAATCTACTTTTCGCTAATCCCCCCCCCCATTTGGTGAAAGTAAATCTTTTGGATATTAACACATTAATCCAGATAACTGGAGAACGGACGTCCCAACTACTAGTTGGGAAACTGCTTTGGCGCTTAGCATACGTACTTTGAAAACTTTTATTTAGCTGAAAAAGAGAGACTTAGTTGGACTTGTAAGAATTTTTACTGCCTGAAATATTTTAGTGCATCATATCTAATTACAGTACAACTTTAAAGGCGAATGGGTGAAATTGCTCCAACCATCGGCCTCATAAACAAATGATTGTATTCATTTGATTATCTACATTACTCATTTTCCTAACAAATTCTAATCTGTTCACTAGAACTGTTTGGTGGTTAATTTCTCTTTTTTTAAATACCAATACTTGCACCTGGTGTAGATGTATGCGTACTCCAGTCAAAGTTACTTTAATGGTAAAGTAATCACCAGTGGAAAGTAAATTGGAAAAAAAATCAATTCAAAGTTCATTTAATACCGATCATCGCTGTTCAGGGAAATTGAACCTCAGCAGGACACATTCAAGGTAGGCTTAATTGGCTTAGCAAATAAATTAAAATTACGCTGATTCTCAATGGGAGATATGAGGTTATAGCAGGGTCAAATGATTTGAAAGTCCCTGTGGGGTCGATATACTTCGAGATCATATATTAACGATGATCTAGATAGAAATTTTGAATCCTTTCGAGACAAACTCTTCGAGAGAAATTTGTTGGGCAAATTTTTTCATATCTATGAATGAAAAGATGTGATTAATACATAATATAGCCGTTAATTGTTTCTTTATATATTAAAATTGGAAAATTTAAACAGGAGGTAACAATCATAGAGAAGAAAGGTAAAATTAATATCTTCTGAGGGTTAAAAAATTTGAAATTTCTCTGCAAGAAAACATTTCAATGGAGCTCTTTTAAAGAATTCACAATTGGCAACGGTAATGCTGCAGCTATTTTACCATTTTAGCGATACAATCAGCGGAGGTAGTAAAAGATTCTGATGAAGAGTGAAGTAGAAACAAAATTGCTTTTTCGCTCCATCCGATTATTGATTTTTTTCTTTTAAAATGGTCAATGACCATTGAGAAAGATCTCAATACTTCTGAGCTCGAATTGTGTGGCATTTTAGGATACACAGAGTCCTTAAATGCTAAATTCCCTAATGGGCGAACTCAATTGAAATCTAAAAAGTTTATAAAAAGTCTGGCTAATTTTCATCGGCCAAATGCATTGAGATGGCAACAACCGTAACTCAATTTAAACCAATTCGTAACCTTTTTCTTCAGGGTAGAACTGTGCTTTGAGAAGTCTCTTCATTTACTTTGAAGTGCTTTATTTGAAAAATAAATTTATTCACGTTTACGGAGTCACAATTTAACAACAAAATTGAAGAATTTCTCAAGGACAGACGAAATAGTCATTCTTAGACGAAGTCAGTTCTACAAGCTCCACTTGAATCGATCGGGTTCTGCTTCTCATCCCTGTACTCGGGTGCAACAGGCGGACTGATGGTATCCTGCAGGGGAATGTCAGCTCTTAGAGTATGTTGAACGCTATACTCCTGAACAGTAGAAGATGAATCTAATGTGTCATCAGTTTGAATGCCCTCATTGTCCTCCGGCATAGTTACTTCAATTTCAGGAACGAATCCGGGATTGGTATACGGTCCACTGAAAGCACTTCCTTCCTGCACTTTGAATTCTCGTAGTGGCAATTGCATGCGATAACAATTTTCAGCCACACATGAAGGCGTAACTTCCACAGGCTGAACACTCTCATGAATAGAGTATTCCGTCGTTTGTTGGGATTGATCTTCTGACTTTTGTTGAACGTTTTGTGGTTCCGGAGCTGAAGGCACCTGATCTAGATCATCCAGGTTTACATTTCCAATCTTCCAGAATGAATTATAAATTCGACGACTTGCCCTGCGGCGCAGACGACCAACTAGAATGGAATGCAGAAATTTTATAATTTAAGATTTTAAGCCAAAATTCTATTTAAATACGATTGGCATAACCAAAATTATCTTGGCTGTCGTGAACCTGTCTTTTCTGAGAACGGATTTTAACAGTAAGATCCTTTTACTCAATTTTGAACCGACTTTAAGGACTTCATTCCTCGTGTACTTAGTGCATTTCTTACGAACAAATAGAAACCAGATCCCGCCATAGTGTTGGCCAACTTACTTACATAACCATTTTATATATACTCAAATTAATAGAGACTATATGGGTTTCCATAGTCATGCATTATTTGTGAGTGGTCGAATTTCGGACTCATTTTTAGCTTGTGGGGTTAAAACAATTGTTGGGGTGAAACTGTTTTGAGGATTTGGGTTATTTCAATTGGAGCTTATGCAAGTTAAATGCTCCATAACAACCAAAGCACTAAAATTGAGCAATTTCTGATGTCTGATTTCTCCTGTGATCAAACAAATTGGAGTGGAATTGTAAAATATGCGAACACAAGTCTTCAAAGGAATTCAAATATCCTCCTTGAAAATAATATATGATTTTCTTGAGCGATGCTCTTAGACAGAAAAGTCCTTATCACCCTCAAGCACAAGGTGGCATGAGACAAATTCGAACACCCGAGATATCTTTACTTGTTTTAGAAAGAAACCTCAGAATTTATCTCCCACCTCTTTAATAACTGCAATGTATCAAGCTTTGAATCATTATGACCAAATCGCGTTTCCATTTACACAATATTCATCAAATAAATTTAATGTAATCCATTATTAGTAAATACATTGAGACACTATGGCAGTGGAATTGTTTTACACCCTCGATTTTGTAGCACTTTGCTAAGTGTGATTGACGGAATTTATTAATAATAGACAAAAACCGGGTTACAAAATCTTACATTTTCCAAGGTTATCATTCGCATTGACTTTCATGTCATTGTCACGAAGAATGTCGAGTAGCTCGAAACGGAAAGCACTGATATCGCCCTTGATTTCGTTGAGATCATCCTCAGTGACACCTTGGCCGAAGTTTTCCATTTGCCGTTGCATAAGATATCGTTTGACCAACTCACGCATTACAGCAGCATGGCGTTCCACATTCTCATTCACTTTTTGAGCCTTTTCCTAAGGAACAAAATCGACGGCATTTTTCAAAATCAATAAGATGAGTCAATGTTGATGGATTTCTAACAAAGATGATTTGAAACTTTTGGATGTATGTGCCTCACGGAAGGATGACATCGCATATACGATTACACCCATGCTTCACTCTAGAACTTTAGGCGTCTTTTTTAAGTTAAAATTTGGCAGTGAGGTTTATCAACTCCAAAAATGTTATTTATTTTCATAGGATGACTAAGTTTTATACTGTTCAATCATCTCTGTTTTCCTGCTTACTCTACGTTGCTTTGCGATTGAAATTAGATTCCTCAAGTCATAAGTAGAAAAGGGGTACGTGAGGGAGCGTCATTCACCCTAAAATAATTGCGGAAAACTGCACAAATTATAAATTCAAAATAAGTATAAAATAATTTATTTCACTTTGCTTTGGCTTATTCAATAAAACTTGGTACAAAAACTGCTAGACAGTCGCGAAATTATTGAATCTATTTTGAAAATATGAGAAAATGTGATTATTTACTGATGATATACGTTAAAAAAGTGAATCAATTAAGTTTTAAGGAAAATGTATTAAATCAAATGAGCCAAAATTGCTTTATTCAAATCCTATTATTGATTGGGATAGGTTATGGATATCAGATTTAAATTATTTTTGGATGAGATTTCAAAAACAAAAAAATATGAAGTCCTTTTTCTCCAGGCATGATAATTGATAAGCATTACCAGTTGTAAAATAATCATTCCAATTAAATAATTAATAATTTCTTTGGAAAAATCATGTGGAAGTAGGCCCTATGTTGAGCAGTGATCTCTTGTTCTCTGACTTGACAGAGGCGTACGTTGATACACTCTATAGCAGTAGAACAGGCATGGTTGGTTTGACAGATCACTGGATATATGCTGGTTGATATGGAGATCGTGACCTCTGACCAAGAAAATATATGCACTGATTGCACACAGTATGAAAGGATCAACCTTTCATCAGTATCGTGCATTACTACATCGTTTTGTACATAGTAGACGACATTGTAAGCGGTATTTTTGATTCCGGATTTCTTTCACACGTTTGGTCTAGGATGTGGTATCAAATGACTTTACAATTTCTATGTTATTCCTCTCGTCTGATAAGTCATAGGGTCTATGTTTAGTACGCCCCCCCCCAGTGGGAGGAATGAACTGCGTTTCCTTTAAAAGCAGTTCATAGAAATTGTAAAGTTATTTAATACCACATCCTCCGACCAACCGTGTGAAAGGAATTCGGAATCATCAAAAAATACCGCTTGCAATGTCGTCTACTATGACCAAAACGATATGGTAATGCGTGATACCGATGAAAAGCTTCATCTCAGGGGATGTGGAGAAGTTCTCTGATGCTTCCTTTCTATCTAATTAGGATTGGTAAGTTTGGTAAGCATATATGTATTTTGAAGTGCTTGAGTAAACTACACGTGGAACTGGATAAATAATACATGAAAGACTATTATTTTGATTAGAAATTCCATCGAATCTAAAGATTCCTATGCAAATATGTAGTTCCGAAGACGAAAGCTTTTAGAATAATGGTCAATTTTTTCCTTTGAAAATTTGAAATTAAACTTAATGCAAAGTTGCTACCATAATTTCCCTATATGCTTAATAATCATTTGACCAAAGTATATATCGACACGATAGGTAATGTGTAGTTCAAATAGAACTCCCATTAATCTAGAATGATTTATTTATCGATAAGATGCAGACGCCTTAGTCGATTTTGAAGGTTTATGGAGCCCGAAAGTCATAGAATAGGTCATAGTGATGTCATAGGGCTTTGAATCTAACTAAGGGGTAAATTTTCAGAGCCAAAGGAAAAAAAATTATTTTAATATTTGTTAAAACACATTCTTTGAGAAAATAACGCATGCAACACTTATGCCTGCTTTATTTACTGTATATTTCTTTCATTGCTTCACTTGTATACTTTGGAGCCATAGTTAAAGTTCATTTTATGCCTTACTAAGTTCTATGCTCTGTTCCTATTCTTCTTTCCCTGAAATTGAGATATGGGGCTGGTAAGTGGTACAATGAAAACACCAGTCCCAATTCACAGGGTCAATAATTCAAGGATTCTTGACAAGCTGCAATAAATAAATTTGTTACTTCTACCGCTGTTAGCATCCGAAATGGCTCCGATACACAAAATGAGGATAGGGCGTGTTGAAAAGTCCTCATTTTGGGGCACTTGATTATTGTGCAAACACCATTCAACTCCTCTTGGTAGCCAAGCGACAGGTTGACAGAAAGAATAAAAGGTGGATAAAGGGTAAAATAGATTGGGGATCGAGATATAATGTTTGGGAGAGGAATAGGTTAAGTATACAATAATATGAATATTTTTTTAATAAAGTATCACTTGAAAAATTCGGAAGAAGTGTGAAAGCTGTGATAGAAATATGTGAGCCTAAAGTTTCCTTAAAGCCCAAATTACGAGAAATATGTATTTTTAAACTTTAAATAAGTAAGAAATTTCAATAATCAAATGAAAAAAATATGAATCAATTAAAGGGAATCATAAATAGTTAATGAAAACGGCTTCCTTATCCCCTCGACTTTACGCGGGCATTTTAGGAGGTGGGTTCATGCTATTAATGACATTGTAGGTTTCTGGCATATTGTTTTTACCTTTACGAGGAAAACGTTGAAAATTATTTTCAGAAATAGGGGTGGGAAATTTGAAATACTCAAACTGCTCCCCAACCCCACTGCTGGTGGAGACTGCAACTTTTTTGCTTTAATAATTAATTTAAACACCTTAATGTCGGGCAGTTTTAATCTCAATGCAAGGACACCTCACTACTTTCACAAAAAATGGCGTCCTTTTAAGGGTGTTACATTCTAGAATATTCTGTCTTCATTAGTACCGGGATAATAAAGCGTTCGCTAAACATTGCATTGTGTCTAACAAAATGCCGCCTAGGTAGGGCTTTTAGTGAGGCGAAAAAAGTGCATACATCCGTAAGTGGACTTTGTAGTTTAGCTTGCGACGAGGAGATTAATTCATGTTTTACGCCCTGTAGTATGCACATTCACCTTATCATTCGGCCAATTATAGCCCACGTCTCCATCCTCCCCACTTCGATTGTGGCGTCGGCACCATTTGAAGAGTCGGGTAAGGGTGGTTCGACAAGGAATTAAGTTGAATGGAACTGCCAGAGTTGAACCCTCAACAAAATAACTGATCCAGAGCTTGGAACGGGCAAACTTCCACTCAGTATCCGCTTGTTCCTAGAAGGGTGGAAGTAATATAAAAAATATGCGGGGCAATAAGAATGGAAGCATTAAAACAATGCTATATGGTGAAAATGATTTCATTTCCTTGAATTTAACAAAATTGACTGACTTCTTACGAGTACTAACAAAGCCACGAGAAGCTACTGTTTTAAAACGAAAGTTATTTCATGATGAATTGCCTTTTTACTGTTGGGAAGGTATTATTAGTTGTCAACCTCCCCCCCCTTGAATTCAGTACGAAGTAGTGATACTTATTTCCTTTTTTGAATAATTAGAATAAAAGTATCATTCTTGCTATGATGAATGAAAAACCCAAGTAAGCTTACAACCTCCCAACAACCCCAAGAACCAGTGTTTACGAAAATGTCGACTTATTCGTTTGTATGATCTTGTTGAAGAAAAAATTACTAACAAAGTTGCTACTTCTACATCATTCCTATGCTCCACGTACACATGGTAATAACATCGACTTGATGATATGAAGGTCATCATTCTGAGGCATTTGTTACAAACATAGAACTTAAGTGTATTAGTATGCAAACACGCTTTTTGACTTCAAAGTTTTTTCAAGTGTTATTGCAAAAAAAAGCAAGATTAATACACATAAACATATGAGTTGTGGGAGCAATGAAACAGACCCAAATTTGCTCATATGAGTTGTTCATCATGGCAATCAGCATGTTGAGAAGAACAATGAAAGCGATGGCCGAATAGATTCCGAAGATGAGCTTGCCTAAGTGAAAGAACAACATAATGAGAGTAAAGCGACTACATGGGAATACAGTTTTTGGGGAGTACTAGATTACCGACCGATAAATTCCGTGAAACTGTGCGGATACTCCAGGTTAAAATTTGAGAGCTCAATCAGACCGTAGGTTGACCAATAAAGGGATTGAACAATTTCAAAAAGGCTGAAATAAACAATTTGTCGTTAAAATAAACTACCGCATAATTTGCCTGATTTCGTTCAAGATTATTAAACAAAGGCTTTCCACAACTTTGTTTCTATGATTTAGTGCAAGTTGGTTTAAGTCAAATGGATTTCCATATATTTTTCACATATAATTTTACTCGAAACTTTGGAGAATTTGTGATGCTTAGCTGTTTAAACGATTAATTCATGTTACTTGTTTCATTCCAAGCGTTAAAGGAGCGTGGTCTACGGGATTACTAAATTCAAAAAGACAATGAGCAACTCATGATCTAATAGAGGAAGTGGTTATTGCGAAAAATGTTCTTTTCCTAATATCCCCTTTTATTAACCAGGATGAATCAAAACCATTGGTTTCTTACGTATTTGGCTGTGTACTTCTGGGCCTGATCGTTTCGTCAATAACACAGAAACTTTAAAGAAAGCGTATCGTTTCGCATCTATCATATCTAACATTTCAAGAATGCGTTCCGAATTCCATCAGTCATCTTCTGTATTTTTCCTTTCATTAAATATATATATACAATGTGTTTATTCACCTTTTAATTTGTTATTTGCTCTATTACTATTTCTCATCTTTCTCAGTTTCTCTTACTTACTTGTTAACTTGTATAATTAGGGTTGATTTTATTTACTATTCCCTTTTCTCATCAAAGGTAATTAAGCGACGATGCTAAAGTTCCTCTTTAATTAAGTTTAGCGCAAAGAGAGATATATTTAAGTCTTACTTTGAAAAATAACGTCCGTGGGTAACACAGTAGTCGTAAATATCTTTCAATCCTTCGCTAACACTGAAATGAACACCTTGACAACTGCTAACTCTCTCGTGTGCGTAAAAAGAGTAGATTTGGTTCAATCCAAAAGCAAATGCAACCAAAACGAGAATGTAGACACAGAAGAACTTTAGGATATCATTCAACATTCGACCAAGGCTGATTTGGAGGGGTCCGAGTTGAGGACTGACGGTGAATACGTAGATGAGTTTGAGAGTGGCGAAAATATTCGCTATCGCGAACAAACTTTCTGATACGAGAATCGGATCGTAAGCACCCCACTTACTGCGATCTTGAACGCTCGGTTCGTTGTACATCCTAACCTAAAATAAAAGGAGAGTAGACAACAAATAAACTTATTTGAATCCTATTCAGGGTAAATGATAAACCTTCAAGGAAGAGTTTAAAGAATAGATGAAATTTCATTTTACCTATTTGAGTGACTTTTTGGAAATGCCATCAATATGCATTCTAAATTACCCAAACAATAGTGCCTTCATAAACGTCATATTTTAATTTAAAAGTGTATTAATTCTATAATTTTCGCCTATTAATTACTACCAAAATTAATAACTACTTAATTAAATTAAATTTGGCTAAATTTTAGCCAAGCCACGTTTCGATAAAACGCATTTCTCACTATATATATCATGAAAAAATAGGGTGCGTGATGGATTTACCTCAACGTAGTTCAACGTGGGCAACTTTTGCTCGTAGGGGACAAAAAGGTCTATAAACTGGCAGTTAACTTTAAACTACTATGGCCCAACTGTATATCATATTCGACCACTTCTACATTACTCACCTCGCCTTACCATTTTCTCTACCTTTGTGTCTGTCTCTTTTGCATCTGTGATTCACTC